TCCTATTCGAGCAAGGCAAAAAGATATTTGGGCAATAGAGGAGAGCTACACGTCACCTAGTGGCTACCAGCTAGAGTTGACGGTAGCCATGTAGGGACCTCCAGTACAACCTTAGGTGTCTAGCACCGAGCTATCAGCGACACCTAGTGGCTACCAGCTAGAGTTGACGGTAGCCATGTTGGGACCTCCAGCACAACCTTAGGTCTCTAGTTTATCCCCTAGATATTAACATAATACAATAAAATCGATAATCGAATATTTCTCGTTTAATATCTTAAACAAGGTACATAATTAGGCGATTGTATGTTGACGAGGTATCGAACCGATTAAGGTTGATTTATTTTATTTTAATAAACGATGAATATTTCAAACTAAACACAAAATATGTGTTTTACGGATAACACATCTAACATTAGATCGAAGACCCATACATTTTCTCAGCAGCTCAAAGTTTATACTTAATTTTATTTTTTACATCCCAGTCTCCCAATCCCACCATAAATAATGCGTTTTGTGCACAGATGTGTACTGTCTTAACTGGATTATTTGGTTTGTGTGTTGACAATGTTCTATTCAGTTTGAGCACAACCATAAAACATTTTCAGAGGATTAACTTTGGTTGGTTTGGTACCTGGTATGTTTGATGTGCTGTATCACATTTACCACGGATTTAACAAGTACACAAGTTTTGGTTGAGTTCACTTACAGCGTCATGCGGTCAGTGAAATCTGAGCACCAAATATTAGTTAAATTAATGCTTAACTTTCTAGTAGGCTACATGGTAGCATGGTCTGGTGGGCTACAGGGTAGCATGGTCTAGTGGGCTACAGGGTAGCATTGTGTAGTGGGCTACAGGGTAGCATGGTCTAGTGGGCTACATGGTAGCATGGTCTAGTGGGCTACAGGGTAGTTGGCCTAGTGGGCTACAGGGTAGCATGGTCTAGTGGGCTACAGGGTAGCATGGTCTAGTGGGCTACAGGGTAGCATGGTCTAATAGGCTACAGGGTAGCTTGGTCTAGTGGGCTACAGGGTAGTTGGCCTAGTGGGCTACAGGGTAGCATGGTCTAGTTGGCTACAGGGTAGCATTGTGTAGTGGGCTACAGGGTAGCATGGTCTAGTGGGCTACAGGGTAGCATGGTCTAGTAGGCTACAGGGTAGTATGGTCTAGTGGGCTACAGGGTAGCATGGTCTAGTGGGCTACAGGGTAGTATGGTCTAGTAGGCTACAGGGTAGTATGGTCTAGTGGGCTACAGGGTAGCATGGTCTAGTTGGCTACAGGGTAGCATTGTGTATTGGGCTACAGGGTAGCATGGTCTAGTGGGCTACAGGGTAGCTGGCCTAGTGGGCTACAGGGTAGCATGGTCTAGTTGGCTACAGGGTAGCATTGTGTAGTGGGCTACAGGGTAGCATGGTCTAGTGGGCTATATGGTAGCATGGTCTAGTGGGCTACATGGTAGCATGGTCTAGTGGGCTACAGGGTAGCATGGTCTAGTGGGCTACAGGGTAGCATGGTCTAGTGGGCTACAGGGTAGCTGGCCTAGTGGGCTACAGGGTAGCATGGTCTAGTTGGCTACAGGGTAGCTTGCGGCTACTGGTAGCATGGTCTAGTGGGATACAGGGTAGCATGGTCTGGTGGGCTACAGGGTAGCATGGTCTAGTGGGCTACAGGGTAGCATGGTCTAGTGGGCTACAGGGTAGCATGGTCTAGTGGGCTACAGGGTAGTATGGTCTAGTGGGCTACAGGGTAGCATGGTCTAGTGGGCTACAGGGTAGCTTGCGGCTACTGGGTAGCATGGTCTAGTTGGTTACAGGGTAGCATGGTCTTGTGGGCTACAGGGTAGTATGGTCTAGTGGGCTACAGGGTAGTATGGTCTAGTGGGCTACAGGGTAGCATGGTCTAGTGGGCTACAGGGTAGCATGGTCTAGTGGGCTACAGGGTAGCATGGTCTAGTGGGGTGCAGGGTAGCATGGTCTAATAGGCTACAGGGTAGCATGGTCTTGTGGGCTACAGGGTAGTTGGTCTTGTGGGCTACAGGGTAGCATGGTCTTGTGGGTTACAGGGTAGCATGGTCTTGTGGGCTACAGGGTAGCATGGTCTAGTGGGCTACAGGGTAGCATGGTCTAGTGGGCTACAGGGTAGCATGGTCTAGTGGGCTACAGGGTAGCTTGCGGCTACTGGGTAGCATGGTCTAGTTGGTTACAGGGTAGCATGGTCTTGTGGGCTACAGGGTAGCATGGTCTTGTAGGCTACAGGGTAGCATGGTCTTGTGGGCTACAGGGTAGCATGGTCTAGTGGGCTACAGGGTAGCATGGTCTAGTGGGCTACAGGGTAGCATGGTCTAGTGGGCTACAGGGTAGCATGGTCTAGTAGGCTACAGGGTAGTTGGCCTAGTGGGCTACAGGGTAGCATGGTCTAGTGGGCTACAGGGTAGCATGGTCTAGTGGGCTACAGGGTAGCTTGGTCTAGTAGGCTACAGGGTAGCATGGTCTAGTAGGCTACAGGGTAGCTTGGTCTAGTGGGCTACAGGGTAGCATGGTCTAGTGGGCTACAGGGTAGCATGGTCTAGTGGGCTACAGGGTAGTTGGCCTAGTGGGCTACAGGGTAGCATGGTCTTGTGGGCTACAGGGTAGCATGGTCTTGTAATCTACAGGGTAGCATGCGGCTACTGGGTAGCATGGTCTAGAGTGGGCTACACGGTAGCCTGCCTGCTAATCCACAACGCTGAGACCTATATCGTTCCAGCACAATCACCTAACATAGTGTGTATGTGAGTGTGTGTGTGTGTGCGTAAGTTTGTGAGACTGGTGTATGTGTATTACTGTAAAAGAGTGAGAGAGAGAGAGAACAGACGACAATTCAATCGCGATGACGTCATTCCACATCTGCTCCAGGGGTATTGATTATACATTAATAACATTTGGGTAAAAGTCACCGGTTGCCTAGCAACGACCACGGCATTAAAATCGAGACGTCCTTACCATTAAAATAATTGCTAGCCTTGATTGCCATGCGGTATTTAAAACCATCATTATGTAGGCTTACAGCATATTTAATACTTGCCTTTTTTTCTTCTAATGATTTCATGTAAATGGCTATTTTAAAAATGCTAGTATTTAACATGGTGTCTGAATGATTTCTGTGTAGTAATGTGTAGGTCTACAATATTTCTGAAGTTAAAAAAATAGATTTCTTACAGTAAAAACTGCACAATGATGACAACAAGTTTACTGTAAGATTTAACTTAGGAGGTGTGTGTGGTCGGGTCATAAGAGCGCTTGGCAGTACCCTGACAATTGACAGTCTGTGGCATTTATTTTTTAACGTGGCCCCATGGTTTAGAGGTGGGATTGCGTGGCAGAAGGGGGTGGACTGGCAGGGACCAAAGGGCCCGGGAGATTTAAAAAGGCCCCCCCCTCCTACCCTAGATTGTAATTTTGTATATTTTCCTCCACCAAAGACTGAATTTTACGTCTTGGCATGAAGCAATTGTAAAATGGCAAGAAAAAAAAAAAAACTGTATTACAGTACCCTTTCGAGGGATCCCTTTCCCCCCCCCCCCCCCCCCCCCTCTAAAGTTTTTTTCTGGTGACCCACTGGGGAAAAATGACCGCCAGGTTCTAAAGCGTAACTAGACTAGGTAGAATGTTATTTATTTGTTAGCAATTTTATAAGATGCTTGTGTCATAACACAATGCAGCATATATTATTCTCCGACTTGATCCTCAAGCAGCAAGAAACATTTTACAATTTGAGTAAATAGTTCCAATGCGCAGAAGTTGTGCGCAGACTTAATGCGCAGAAGTTGTGCGCAAAGTTTAAAAAAAAAAAAAATGACAAGACTCGGAAAATTAAAAAAAAAATGTTGAGCTAATTTTGGCGTCGCGCTTTAGCTATAGTTTCATAAATATCCTGGGATGATTAGCCATCCGCAACACGATGTGATGAATTTAATCTCCAATTAACCATTTGTTTGGTGATTAATTTAATCTCTGATTAATCTTTTATTTAAAGGAGATTAGGCCTACAATGCTTGATTAAATCCTTACGGGGACCGCCCACGAAATGATTTAAATGGCCTAATTATACTGCTTAAAATATATGTTGAATTTACCAGATTAGCTGCAATTTTTTTTCTTTGATGTATCGATTTTTTTAACCTTTCCCCAAAGATAGTTTTTTTATTTCACATTTTGTAATTTCCTTTTTAAAAAACCCCCCAAAAAACCCCTTCGCAAATGAGACATCATAATTCACACAGAGCATAGGCCTATACCTGGAGACATTAATACCTACATACTGTTAAAAGCTGATCTTCTTAATTTGGCCCATTAATACAGTATAACTATAAATAAAAGAGTTTTAACTACTTAAAGGGGTCGGCGTGGTCGAGTCGGTAAAGCTCATGGTTGCTAACCGAAAAGTCTCGAGTTCGAACCCCCGGGCAGATGAGACTCCTTAGCTGGGGACAGCCACTCTTCTAGGAGAGACAACTCCAAAATTAAACAACTGCTGCCTTGTAGTTTGTTCTTGGTTGGACAAAGGCTATGGAAACAAATCCAAAAAGAAAAGCAGGCTGAAATAGGAGTAAATGGCCTCAATGGCGCATAACCAGTTGACACGTAACGCTTAATTGTGTTGGAGGCGTGGTCGAGTCGGCAAAAAGCTCATGGTTGATAAATTCGAACAAAGTCTCGAGTTCAAACGCACTGGCAGATAAATCTCGATCCCCTTCAACACTAATAATTAAGAACGAAGAAGAAGAAGAAAGAAGAACTACTTAAAATATGTCTGCATTATCTTTCGGCATACAACATAAGCATTTTTTAAAAATTGTTACAAAGTATAAATTCTACTTTTAGAATTTATTTCAGAAAGATTATCATTTTGTTTTGTTGAGTTAAAAGTATTCGATGATGTTTGCAATAAATGTTGTATATTGTAAAATATATGAACAGCGACTTTGACAAAAGAAGAAAAAGCTTTAAAACATGCAACTTACCCGTGGCAAATCCAAAAATAACATCTAAAGTCCCATCACCATTTACATCCACTAAACGAAACGCTGACTCCGTTAAAAGTTTGGGAATTCCCAGAACCCATACGTCACTAACTTCCATTTTATCACAACCAATCACCGAAGTCCTCTCCTGGCCTAGTTTCGCCGACGCTTTCGAATCCTCCCCTTCCTTGAGTAAGACCGGATTTGATTGGTTCTTGTGTCTGTTGGCGATGTAAACAATGGTGGCCATGACCCCGCAGAGCACGGTCACGAGCGCGATGAAGTAGAAGATGGGCTTGAACACGGAGCAGAACCGGCACTCGATCGTTCGCGTTTTCACCTTCGTTCTTTGACCTTTGTTGCGGGGGTGCATCAGGGGTTTGGAGGCGGATATTTCCAGGTTGGGGTCCTGCACGAACACCTCATCTTCGTCCGATTCCTGGACGTCGTAGCCGTTTTCGACCACCGGAACTTCCTCGCTGATGAACCCGTTTCTTTGGCTGCGCTTTTTGCTGAAGAAAACTCGTGCGCTCGCCATTTTGAGCAGTTTTACCGTATTAGAGATTATTTCTGAAGAAATATTACCTGTCGGTGGATGGTTGTGTATGAAATATTACACTTCACTGTAATTCTATTAATGTTGAACACACCCCATATTAAAATGCTGTCTGGATATTTGAATCTAAATTTTATACTCAAAACCGTAATATATTATTCATTTCATCGAAGCATCTTTCATTAATAGTAAGATATGAAATTCTATAACACGCCCCAGCAATGCGGATTTGGTACTGTTCTATATCTAAAGGTGTTTCACATTTAGTACACTGTAGAATAAATTTGTCTAGAGTGGGCATCAATCATCTAGATCACTATTGAATACGCCTGTTCTCTGCGTACAAGACAAGCCTCTGTCCCTTGGAATCTCTGCTACATGCGATGTTTCATCCTATCCAGATCTACAAGCGGATCCAGCCAAGTCTTATCCCATGGTTCTGATCTGTTTCTCACACCCCATTCCAGAACATTCCAGAACTGTTACAATCTGATCAAATAAAAAGAAACAAGTAATTAGCGTGATGACCGAACTAGCTAACTCCACCAATGTGTTCAAATAAAAAGAAACAAGTAATTAGCGTGATGCCCGTAGCTAGCTAACTCCACCAATCTGTTCAAATAAAAAGAAACAAGTAATTAGCGTGATGACCTAACTAGCTAACTCCACCAATCTGTTCAAATAAAAAGAAACAAGTAATTAGCGTGATGACCGAACTAGCTTACTCCCCCAATAAGTTCAAATAAAAAGAAACAAGTAATTAGCGTGATTTCTGTAACTAGCTAACTCCCCCAATAAGTTCAAATAAAAAGAAACAAGTAATTAGCGTGATGCCCGTTACTAGCTTACTCCCCCAATCTGATTGTGTCCCTTGACTACTCGGTGGGGGCGGCGGAAGTGGTGAATGTTTTATGCTAATGAGCAGACGCCCACGCGGCCATGTTTGCCCCATCCCCGTCATGGTTTGAATAATTGACGGGGTAATGGACTTGAGGACTACATGTCTTGTATCGGTTACATCTGTTACAGTGATGGTAGTGTACCTAAGGCCCGAGGGGGAGGGGGGTCTATTTGCTGTTGGGGGGTTGGATAACATCGTGACTAAATAAGTGGGGGGGGGCGTAGTCTGTAGGGTAGGACAGATTAACTATACGTAGGGGGGCAATGGGTGGGAGACATCCTAACTAGAGGGACTGGGCAGTAGGGCGGACAGCCTAACAATAAATAGCAATATTAACAGAAAGTGCCGTGTGGAATGGTAGGTTCGAACCCCGTTGGTGTCTGACTGCTTGTCTTTACTTGGACTATTTTCTGTACCTTTGTCTACCCTTGGCGTTGAAATATCACTTTCTGTTAATATTGCTATTTCAGTTACAACGCCTGCTTCCACCCCCCCCCCCTACACGTTTACAACAATAAATAGTGGGCATTTGAGGGGGAAGCAACCTAACTAGACGTAGAGGGCAATAGGAGTTAGGAACAGCCTATTCAGCCCTTACGATGAGAAGGGTTGGAGTTAAATTGAGCCGAATAGTAATACTAGATTAGTACTGGGGTGTCATTGTACTAATATCAAAAGCAAATGGCAGATCTTTACACAATAACATCGATGTTATAGATCTAAAAACAAGAGATGCTAAACTGCGGCAAATTTCCTAGAGATCCAAATCTCGAAACCCAGTCCCAAACGATTTTAACATTGTGACATCTTCTCTGACTGCCTCTCTCTCACTTGATGACCCTCAACCGTCACGTCATCAAGCCCCGCCCATCATATAATCAGGCCCTGCTCATCACGTCAACAAACACCGCCCATCACGTCATCGAACCCCGCCCATCACGTTATCAAGCTCCGCCCATCACGTCATCAAGCTCCGCCCGTCATGTCATCAAGCTCCACCCATCACATCATCAAGCCCCGCCCATCACGTCCTCAAGCTCCACCCATCACGGGGTTTTTTAAAACTCCGCCCACCGTCGCATCAAGCACCGCCCGTCAGGCTATAATTTATTGATGACTCACCTTTTTCCTATTCCCACAATAAAAACAGCCGCTAACGACTTATAAAAAAAAAAATTCAATTTTTGTCTTTATCATAGAGGAGGCTAGAACTTGCTTCCATCTGAGCTATGTCATTCCCCACCTTTGATCCTTTCACCTTGTTCACACTTCATTTCTCTTTACATCAAACTATTTTTTAACAGCACCCTCGGTGTCTTGTTCCATTTCGGTAACGTTAAAGGTATACTACAGCATTGTGGCTTTTTATTCTCATGAGTGGTTCTTTCAGACTTTTTCCTTTAAGGGGCACATGAAACTTTCCGAAGGGGGGAGTACGGAGGGGGGGGGGGTGGCAGTATGTTTTCTTTATAAAATGAGATGAAAGAAACACAGATTCTGATACACATTCGTGTAATGTTAATTTGTCCGATAATAGATTCTACCCCAAGGATTAATTTGTCCGAATAATTTTCATAAAGGTCTTACCGTAGGAGTTCGTTTTTTTTAGGGTTTTCAAATCCCAAGCTAGAAACACAGTGAAATAAACCTAACGTTGATACCACTCATCCTTCAGTTTGATTGGGGGAATATTAGGAGGCATCACCACCCGACAAAATGCTACACAGTTCAGTGCGCAAGATCGTTTCTATAAATATCTACTGACGTCATCGATAATCCAAGTCTTTGACGGTGCGGCGAAATTGTGGGTATAAATCAAGAGGGTCTGGGAATACGGTATCAAACGGTTGGTATTGATGATCGTACTAGGTCATTAAAGTGTTGGGGCGTGGGTAGTAGTATGTGTGTGTGAAAGGGGGGGGGGGGGTACAAGTAAAGGGAAATCACTGTCATTTTGTTGTTAGTAGAGTTATCTTGTATTTTGTTTTCAGCATTAAAATAACATTTGTTTCATAAAAAAATATATAAAATCGGGTGAAATGTACTATACGATATCTCATGAAAGGATGTTAAATGGCAGCTATTCGATAGACTGTTCATCTAGTTGACTGTAGTGTTCATAAGTCTGGCAGCATTACGTTACAGAGAATGTGAGTTCTGTATTAGACACAACTAAAGAAGACACAGCTGCCCACAATGGTAGGGGGTCGTCCGTTATTGCCGTCACATTCCTATAAGAAGTGGGGAGTTAGGACTTTCGTAACAATGGGTGACGAGGACAATTCTGTCTCTAAAGTGTGGTGTCACCATTCTGAAAATTTGAACAATTATTTTTTTGTAAGTGCGGGGTGGAGATTAAAAGCATGACCCCCCCCCTATGCCCTAAGCAAACAAAATAGGTAGGATATTGATTTTTTTAAACGCTTTTTTTTTTCAAACTGCGATGTTTTATTATTGCTTTTTTTGTAGATTTAGTAAAAACATCTTCAAAGCAATTAATACCTCTGACATATAAGTAATCTTCTTCAAGAAGTACACTAAATTTATCGGATGGGTTTAGCTTAAGCTTAAAAACGCAAAATAAGTGCCTAAAGTGCCTGCAAAAAAAAAAAAAAAAAAAAAAAAAAAAAAAAACTTGTACAAATGAAATGGAATTAATAAGTTATTAGATTTTCCACTTGCTTAAAACAGTATGTTCCGCAAACTTAAAGAAATCTTTAAAAAGATTTCTACTTTTACTGGAAAAGAAACGAAACAATTCAACAAAGCAACAGCGGGGGTTCGTGAATTATTAATTTACTTTCTTCGGTAGTAAACTTCTTACAAAATACGTCAATAAAATACTCTTTACAACCCGAGCTAGACTTTTTTAGCCCGGAGCTAAAAGCTTGTGATTACATTGGATACTGAACGAGAGTGACCTGACAGCCATTTTTATTCCAATCAAATATCGGTTAATATAAAAAAACGAAATCGTGAAAGTAAGTTTTAACGGAACAAAGAGAAGCAAATACGTTTAGGGAAATTATTTTTTATTAATGTAATTAGCAGGGAAAGAACTCGTTAACCCTTTGGTTGTTGAGAATACAAACACGGGATGAAAGGTTATGACATGTCTAATGCTTTGTGTAGTTGTTGGGAAAGGAGGGGGGGGGGGGGTGGGGGGCGTGACATATATCACTGATGACCCCAGGGAACACACATCATTGTAATTGTTTGCTTCAACTGGATGTGTATATTTGATAGGTCAGCACATTGGCGCGTGGACATGAGAGTAAGGTCAATAGGTCAGTACAGGGTCAACCTTTAATCTAGGATGTGATGTTGAATGGTTGTTATTTTTTAGGGTGGAGATTGAGATGTCAGCCATATAAGGGTTAACAGCTTTGGACGGTACGCTGCCATAGTTTATAACCTTTTTGTTGTGTTCGCTCGATTATTCCGTGGTAGTAAACCATAGGATGACGGGGAATCGATTTTGTTGAGTGATTATTGCTTATCGATACACATCGATTCGGTAGATTGTTTTTTCCTAATTATAACATAAATTAATTACCTTGTTTACAAGTTTTACCACGTTCGACGTTGATGTTACAAAAAGCTATGAGGGTGAATGTGAAGTTAAATGAATGCGTTCGAATATATTGAGATATGTTTGTAGGTTATGTTAGAATCGAGTTCCATATCCGATATTTTTTTAAAATGTGGATGTAGGTTATTATGGATTAAACAAAAATTACGAGTAAGTGGTATATTTATTATGGAAAGTTTAAAAGATGATGTATATGTGTTTCAAGAAATATTAAGTCATGTCTTAATTTCATGTAGGTACTTACAAGTACCACCATATATTTCGGAATGTAACGGAACGTGTTAGTTCGGTCTATGCTTTTATTGTGCCAAATATAACACAGCAACGTGTAGTTTGAGGGGAAAATGCGTTAAACATTAAAGAGAGGTGAATAGTTTTCTATATGTGGTTTGTATGTTAAGTTGATGAATGCGACTCTAAAGGGTGTTGTGGTTTGTTCCGTAAGGGTGTTATTCATGGATTACAAAAAAAAATTACTCTGACGCAACAGTTGTTATTTGGCAACA